ATGCGGTGGAAATTCGGCTCGGAATGCTTGCTACACCCGGGACTTATGTCTCTGCTGGCGGAGGGTCGGGTACTGTGATGAGTGACGGCACACTTGTGTTTCCCATGCAGGCCACAGATAATGGAAATACCTTTTTGCTTCTCGCGCACTTCACCCCGTCAGAGAATGAATGGAAGCCTGTAGTCTATATGGTAGGTGAGGGTTGCCACAATCCATCGATTGTGGAGTGGGGCGAAGTCTATGACCGAAGCATCTTCATGATGGCTCCCTGCAAGGATCGTTCCTATTACATGTACAAGTCTTTATCTTTGTACTATTCGTCGAGCGGTGAACCAATTTCTCGCTTGTGGGGCATCTCACATGATAGAAAAAGGGAGGGGGCGCGAAGTGGTTTCATCACTGCAACCATCGATGGAAAGAAGGTGATGCTGCTTACCCTGCCGGTGTATTCTGAGGAGAAGGGAGAGGGTCGGCTGCATCTTTGGGTGACAGACAATGCCCGTGTGCACGACGTTGGGCCGGTATCTCGCGAAGGCGATAACGCTGCCGCCAGCTCCCTGCTGTACACAGCTGACAAGAAGGAGTTGATTTTACTGTACGAGAAGAAGGCGAAGAATGGGGAGGGTGATTTATACAGTATTGTGGCTGTGAACCTGACTGAGCAGCTGGAGCGGATAAAGAGCGTGGTGAAGGCTTGGAAAGATATGGACACCGCACTAACAAACTGCGCTTCCACTGGCACTGTTGACCCGCGGATAAAGAATGTGTGTAAAGTGCCCATTCCCACCAAAGGGCTTATTGGCTTTTGGTCCAACAGTTTGGAAGGGAATTTATGGAAAGACGAGTACTTCGGAGTGAACGCAATGGTGCGTGGTGGGAATGTGGCAGGCACGGAGGGGGGCGTGAGGTTCCGAGGCGCAGCAGCGGGGGCGGAGTGGCCGGTGGGCAACAAGGGGCAGTTCCAACCGTACTACTTTGTGAACAATGACTTCACTCTTGTGGCGACGGTGATGATTAACGCGGTGCCGGAGACAGAGGGTCCTGTTCCTTTGATGGGTGTGAGGATGAATGACGATGCCAATACTGTGCTTGTTGGTCTGTTCTACACGAAGGACAAGAAGTGGGGAGTAATTGTCAACGGAAAGTCTCGGGAGTTGTCAGATAAAGATGGTACGTGGCAGCCTGGCACAACGTATCAAGTGATACTGAAAAAGCTTAGGGAATCGTTGTATGTGTACGTTGACAATAATGAGCTTATTCAGGAGGATGTTGCGCCCTTTGAGTACACCCCACGCGGTGTCTTGGACTTCTACGTTGGCGGCGACGGTGCGAAGGGGACAGGCGAGGTTGACGTGACGGTGGGCAATGTCCTGCTGTACAAAGAGGCACTTGGTGATAATAGGCTCACGAGCCTCAGTGCCAGCAAAGTCACACTTCCAACACCAGCTGCTGAGGGGCCACTCACAACGCTGGGAAATGATGAGGAGATTACCTCCAAGCTGAAACCTGGAGAAAAGAGGATTGGTGACGGTTTGAATCCTGAAGGGCGTCTACCAGAGGAGGCCCATAAAGGCAATCACAGTGCTGGTGAGGAGTCGGGGTCTGCGCCGGCTTTGTCTTCGCCAAGGGTGCGCCTGGCTGTTGGATCCAAAAACACCAGCGCGAGTCTTGCGAAGGACGCATCCAGCATTTCTCTTTCTGGTGACAGCTCCGTTGCTTTCGACAACCTTACACGTGTGAGGCCCGATTCAGGAAGCGGTGACGGCACGATGCGTGGGTGTGTGTCTCGGCTGCTTCTGCTGCTATTGGTGTTATTGGGTTTTGTTTCCCTGTGCTGAGTGGAGCCCGGTGGAGGGGAGTTTGTGCTTCTACTGAGAACATCTCCGTTTCTCCACTCACTTTTTAAACTAAATAAAGTCTCATTTAGACATACATTTTGTTTTATTTTCCGCTTTTTTTAAATTTACGCAAGACGTTTTTTTTTTTTTTCCTTGGGCACACAAATTGCGCTCTCCCCTCAGCACTAGCACAGCGCAATCCTCATGTATTTATTTTATTGTGTCCATTTTTGTTTGTTATATTGTTTGTTTGTAGCAATGACTGGAGACCAGTCACCATTTTTTTTTTGTGTGTATTGGTTCAGTATATTGTTGGTTGATTGATTTGTGGATGTGTTATTTTCGTTGGTTTTCCGGTTGTTGTTTTGTCGGTTTG